GAAACCCGGTTTCTAGCGTTGTAAGTCCGCAGACATACCGCTATGCCACTGGGGGCGAATCAATTATAGAACATTTATTCAGAGGATGGAACGACATCTTATGAGGGCAACATTTTTGTAAAGAAGTAAAAGTTAGATCTGGTGGGATTCTAACCTGTGACCCGGGTCTATTTAAATAATACATGTTTTATCCAACTGAGTTACCAGCTGTTGAAAACCATCTTTCAGTTTTCACCTCACTGGTTGTTCAGGGAGAAAACTGGAAGAACTGCTAAGCCATGTTTGTTAGCTTGTAAAGCTCAAACTCTGTTCACCACCACCCCAATTCCGTTGGAAATGCTGACTTTTTTAAGTGGTTTTAATAAAGAAAATGCATGGGATCAAAAACGTTTATAAATCATAATTACATAATCATTGGATTCCTTTTGTAATAAACGTTTCCTTTTGTTGGAAATACAGAAAATTCACACTGCGGAAATTACAGTTGAGAAAATGATGTTAAATTTAAAACGTTTCGTTAGTCACAAAAACGTGTACACAAATCATATAAGAATCTAAAAAAACACACACATATAATTAAGATATGCGCCTTCTCATTATGTTTACGTCATCACTTTTCTTGGTCTTCACAACGATAATTGAACAACTTTTATTTCATATGAATTAATCTGTTTTCGAATTTTGAGAGTTGAAAAGTTTCCATTAAAGAACATGAGAGGCCTATCGAGACAGCTCGATAATATCTGCATTCAAGTTTTAATAATTACCTTGAGAAAATTTAATTTCTGTATAATTATATCTTTATCTTATTATTATTTTCTTGTTTAATACCAACATACATTTGGTAACCTCGTAACAATGTCTGATTAGGGTATTAAATCCGAGTTACTCACAACAGGGGAGCTTGGTGGAACAATGCCAGGATATCCTGCTGGTGAAAAACTGCTCGTCACATTCCCTGAATTTCCTCCAGAGGTCACCACTGAGCCCGGAGAAGAGCCCTGACCACTGTTAACTGGGGAAATATTACCGGAAAGTCCAGGTCCTAAATAATTCACAAAACAGGACTAATTAACGATATATTTCTTTATTAACAGAAATTTATAAAAATATAGCAGACATTTTTTTAAGATACAGTAAAAATTTTAACCACCACTTTTTTTTTTTGTATTATTATACAAACTACTGTATTTCGTCCATAATGGCCAAGCATGACCTGATAGTTAGCGCGCGAAAGTCCAAGGCTTGATTCTGTGATATGTTACTGAACATGTTCCACATTTTCAGCCGTGGGCGCATTATAGAAGCGACTATCAATCCCGATACTCAATTAAGTACAACTACATAGGCGGCAGTTGCTTCTGACTAGTCGCCTTCACTCTGGTCAGCAGTTCTAAATTAGAACAGCTACACCTGAATTGAGATCTCTGTGTCGCCTAAGTTGTTATTCAAGTTGAAAATAACAAATACCAAAATCAGTTAAAAAAAAACATCGCACAAGTTTTTGTCTCGCCTTATTTTCTGATTTCAATGGTTATGTGGTTATCTTTGAGCTAGCACTGATAACAGATTTGGTAGCACTGAAATGTGTTATATTTCCATAACATAATATTAAGTTTCTCAAAACGTTTCCTATACAATATCTCTAAGTCCGATCCCTATATTTTAAACGTATCAGTTACTAGACATTAGTTTAGTCTACACAAATTTTGTATATGATACACACAGTCAGGAAGCTAGACCACATGAGTGTCCTTGTTGACACTTGAAGTTAGAAAAAAACGTGCAACCAATCTACTACTAATGTAAGCTGCTATTAAATTACATCGCATCGATATTTCTGTTCTTCAAGGATAACTGGGAGAAACCAACGATCACTACCATATTCAGTGATTACTGTGTTTGTCTTCGTTTTGGACGCCCCCCAGCGGCATGTCTGCGGACTTACAACGTTAGAAACCGGGTTTCGATACCCTCTGTTCTTCAAGGATAACCGGGAGAAACCAACGATCACTACCATATTCAGTGATTACTGTGTTTGTCTTCGTTTTGGACGCCCCCCAGCGG